GCCTCTCGTAGGAGACGATCTGAGTCGTACTGTATAATATATGCATACTGATGGATCATGGGAGTTCTTGAACCAGTCAAATCAAAGAATCATTCTTCTCCAATTAGAGTATTTGATTTTCCAATGGAAAATTAATAAAGAATCTGAACACAAGAATTAGCAATGCAATGCCTGACTTTGATCTACAATAAAAAAAACAATTAATTGAAAAATGGTAATGCTTTGATAGATAAGTTGCCGGGTTTTTTTAATTCAAAATGTAAGTTGTGAATGAACAAGTATATAAAATATACTCTGATAATCACACGTGTAGACATTAAATTGTACGGGTGCACTTACTACTCTTTGACATGGTTTGAGTTTTCCCATATCCCAATACTACTATGTTTTTGTTGCTACCCAATTGTGCACAAACTGTTGCCGACCGGGGACAGCCTGTCTGGTCGTTAATACCACGACACAGGTTCAACCAATACCTGCACACAATTACATATAGATTAGGAACTTCTAGAAACACTATATAATATCACCGCCATAGAAGAAGCATACAGATATCATCAATACGTAAAGACATTTTTCTTGGAAATTTCATTTTAAAGAAAACCATCTTAACTATGCGTATAACTATGAGTAAACGCATTTATCTAAAGACACTGAACGCTCAATGTTATCGTTAGCCATATCATCAATGCGTAAACGTACTTATCTAACGACATTAAACGTAATAAACGTTAGCCATATTACCATTACGTATACGTTTAACGTACTTATCTCCAGTAGAGGTGATGTAATGCCAACTCTTCTTTTTACTGGACAATAGCTGCAGGTCGTACAAGTGATCTTGATCTTTAAACACACACTCTTCCTGAGCTGGTGAGCAAACAAGGCTTGTTCTCCATATGATGTCAACGCCACGGCTCTGTCAAACATACACTTTATTTAAATATCTTGTTTTATGCTTTATTTTTGTTTTGAATGAAAGCTCTGATAAACAGCGCAAACTCAGACCTACAACCAGAATTATTATCCTCCAGCCTCACATTGTTCTCATTTCAGAATTCTCACTCTTGTCCCCTTTTCATCAATGTTTGGTCTTGTTTTGGTAGTTGTGCACTATGCTAACATGCTCTGTGACAACATTGCATTTAGGGGTTCAGGGGGAATTGTCCGCGAGTGTTCATTAAAATAAAGAAATTCACTGTAATGGTCCAAGCATCAACGATTGTAGTTATATGGTTATGGTAACACAACAAATAATATGGTGGAAATCCCTCGTTTACTTACATCAATACTTTCCAGAGAATATCCTGTGTTACTAGAGGTTACAGTCTCATCGCATATAAACATTATTCTTGATTTGTACTTTACTTGTTCTGTGTGACAATGTCATATGTGATGTTAACAAATGTTTCAAAATGCAAATACAATGCTTTATAGTCATTTTCCTTGTCACTAGTATTATCATTATTGTTGTTTTTTATTGGGTATACAACCCTTTACCTCTTTGTTATTGTTATGTGTTATTTTTATTTCCATCGCTTTTGCAATAGCATTTTAATTTTTTATAGTTTTTAAAATAACATTCATCGTTTATGTTGTAATTGGTGTTGTCAATCACCTAGCCTCCTCCGCAGGCATCACTAAGAATCACGGGCTTCCTGTAGAATCACGGGCTTCCTGTCTTTTTGAGGAGTCAAAAGAGGGAGAATGGGGGCGAGAAAAGGGGCGTCACTAGTCCCTGACGCCCAAAATGACCGTTACAAAGGAAGCCCAAGGGAGAAAAAAAAAGAGTTTCCTGTGGAGGAGGCTAGTCATCACCATTGTATAATAATATTTAAGAGATACAGATTTTATCTTCGAGGTAGACATCAATGGAAAACGAAAAGATAATATTCGTATCTCCAAGCGCCCATGTAATGTTCTGTTTATTATATACACTCAAATTTTTATCCATGGCAAGAAATAGGACAGTTTTGTACCGAGTATCCATGGTAACGTGTTATTTTCACATGTGAAACATCACTTTTTGCACTATAGATTCCTGGCTTTTCATTTAACGTTATTTAACAAATAGATCTCATTTTTCCGTGCGTGYGTACTCTAATAGATACACAGATGACGTCAAAATGTAGWGAGAACAAAAAAGTACGCACGAGACGCAGTCGAGTGCGTGACTGTTGTTCTCACTACATTTTGACGTAATCTGTGTATCTATTAGAGTACACACGCACGGAAMAATGAGATCTATCTGTTTTATACAACAAACAATTAGTTTTGACGTAATCCGTGTAYCTATACTTTGATAACACACGAAAGCCAACCAATCAAAACGTCTGATTTTACTGAAAAGTTGTATAAATAATAATAGCAAGCATTTGAATAATAATACTCAATTATAAGAACTCACCAGAATCGCACTGACGATCACAGTATTTAATCACCAGCATATTCTCTTCATAAATATACGTCATAGTCATGTACTGAAACAACCCGAGGGCTTGATTGTTGCCTGTTGAACGTGCTAAGCACACACCAGCACCAGTACACTGCTTGACGGGGAGACTACGACATACAGAAGCATATACTGTGCCACCGTCTGGAGCAGCAAGCTATGGAAAAACAGGGCGTCAGATGATGACATATATCGCGCATTTCTGTCTCGTGGATCTACAAAAATCTAGACTAGCAATTGGATGACTGTGGTAAATAAAATAGGGAATACCACACGAAACTATCGTAAATTTGCTAAGTTTAATCTAAATACTATGATGTATTAATCTACCTACCGCGACATAACCATCTTGGTTGGCAGTTCGTAGTGAGCTGATATCATAGTAGAATCCTGTCTCTTTGTCGAACACACGGCATCGAGGTAAATCAACGACTTCCTGACTGACACAAGCAGCCGATGTAGACCACGTAAAGGTGTATAAGTTCTTATCCTTGTACGCAAATAATGGCTTACCCTACAACGCAAACGTCTTCAGTCATAATATTTTCAAAATCAAAGGGAATTGTATTTATTATCTAAAATTTGTTATTCATCGAGAATCGAAGTGCTATGAATGGGGACAGTTAAAACTGTTTTGCGTATGTCAATAAGGGAACAATATGTATGTTTTATTTGTACGTTAAATTAAGATAAATTCTCTTGTGAAAATACCAAATAACGATGAAAAAAGTAATGCATAGCAATAGCTTCACATCATACACATACTTCATGAACGCCTGCCGTTTTTAATAAACTAAAACTGTACCAGTATAGATTCAGCTTAGAGCGGATTTCGTATGACTGTCAGTACAAAAAAAAAAACACGACACTTTCAAGCGGTAACCGTGCCGTGCTTTGACGTGTTCTTGAATCACTATTTTCATTTGGCGCCACTACCAGGCGAGGTTCCATGACCGTTTAGTATCATTTCCGTGCCGTGATCCGTGCATTTGAACAGGCAAACGAAATACGCTCTATTAAATGATTATAGCTTACCAGGCTACCATGGTTACACGTCAGTTCTATTCGTGTCTGAGCGTTGTTAGTACCGTTKATATAAGTCACTATTATCTTGTTGCCGTCGACTTTAGGTGGACCAGCCGCACGACCAAGGCTCTACAAATAAGAGAAATAACCATTGGASTGCTGTAGTTCAATAGATACCAGTGSA